CTAGATTATACACATCAGGAAACTCTCATCTCCTGTCTATGGCCAGTTTAGGAATTTTTAAAAATCTGGTTAGAGCAAAAACTAAAGAAGGGTGTACACAGTTAGAATTTCAAACAAACAAAATAGATTTTGGAACATTCATTCCAGGTTGATGGTGTCAAATCAATAATCGAGTTTGACCACAGCTGAAAACCTTTGAAGGAGCATGTTGGAGAATTTTTCTCAGACAAACGAAATTCTGACAGTGAATGTGGTTTTCTTCAGTAAATACCATTCATTCCAAAATCAAATGTTACATGCAAACGAAAATCAAATGAAATTTCGAACGACAACTGCATCATTGAACAATCCGACGGCATTTTTCATATGAACGTTCATGCGAAAATCTACCTGTGTATACCCTACTTAAATCAAAGGTCCGTCTTCCCTTTGTACACTATGAGAAACCACTGTTTATTACGTTGTAGAAGGGCATCTTATGATAGTTAATTCAATTACAATAGTTCTGACAATGGTTCTAAAATATGCATTGGGGGGAATTTATCAAAGCAATTTCGAGTTTTTTTGACTTGCACGGAATATATTTGCACCAGATTTTTGATGCTAGTGTAATGTTGTTGATAAATGAGGTTTAATAGACTCCAGGAAAGAAGACTTGTAACTCCAGGCAAAAAGCTTAACTGTCGCATCTTGAAGAAGTGGTCATGGGGACTTCTTAAGTTGTGATTGTTTTCTTAGGTGATGCTCCTGTTTCAGACAGCCAAGAACAAGTGCAGATGAAAAAAGGTGCAAAAAACATGCAACTGAAAAAGTAGTGCAAGCTCTGATGAAAACAAGTGCAAAACACGTGCAGTTGGAAAAGTAGTGCAAGTTCAGGTCAAAACAGGGGCACATGTTGAAAGACAGATTTGCACATAAAAGAAATGATGTAGGAGGCTAAAACTGTCACAATTGCTTTGATAAATTCCCCCCAGTGTTTTTTTTATTATATATAGTTAAGAATCTGCCATCTTAGTCCAGTTTAGAGATATACATGTAAATATATAGATTTAGATTTGTGTATGGTGTTTAATTGGCTCCTAGGTGTTTGACTCAACAATGTCTTACTGATGTAAAACTAATGCAAATTAGACTGCTTGCAGGAATGTATAAATATTACATACAGCTACAAGTGGTAATCTGGAGGTATTGTGGGAGAGTAGCATAACCATGTATAAGAGGGGACATACAGCCTTATTCAGACTTGTGCACAGCTGAAAATGTAGTTTAGCTTTCGTTTAGTTTCTATTCTGATTTAGATTTTTTGTTTTCTAAAATTCATATCCATTTGATATTCGGAATTCGGATCGATTGGAAGGTTTTGTTTTCGGAGTTCAGATCAATTCTAATTTATTTGGATGCAGTTTAAAAGTAAAAAAACACAGTGGGATCCCCCTCCCAAATTCCTACCAGACCCTCTTGGTCTGGTAGGAATTTTAAGGGGGACCCCATGTCAATACAAAAGAGTGGGGTTCCCCTCCAAATCCCTTACCCTTGTCCTCATCAACATGGGGATAAGGTGCTTTGCCAGGGGATCCCCCCCCTGGCAAAGCGCCCTCCCCATGTTGAGGGCATGTGGCCTGGTATGGTGTACAATGGTAGCTGCACGATCATCCCCGCTCTTTCCTGCTCTGCCAGGCTGCTGCTCAAATCAAGGGTCTGGTAAAGGATGTTGGGGGGGCCCCATGCATTTTTTTTTGGCATGGGGTCCCCTCTAAAATTCCTACCAGACCTAAAGGGTCTGGTATGAATTTGGGGGGAAACCCCACCCTAAAAAAAAAATGTTTTTTTAATTATTACGTTTAACAACATCAGTTCATTCTGAACAACATTCAAGGTTCAAAGGGTTTAGGAAATCTTTACAAAATGCTAACAATTTCTAGGTGCTAGTGTGGAAGAACATGGAGGGGTTTCCTCACTATGGATGCCACTTGCAGTTATCAGGTCTCACAAAACTACATGCCGTTTTGAAGGATAAATGGCTCTGCAATTGTTTTTATAAATACACTCCTCAGAGTATGTGGTAGGTGTTTATTATCAATAGCCCTACGAGGGGCCAACCACAACCTGGGCCATCAAGGAGAAGAGGAATGCACCGGTTGCTGGGGGAACATGGGATAAGGTAAGTAAAGGCCCGTTGTTTTACTAATACCCTAGGGAACAAGTGTGCAACAAGTGAAGTAAGAACTCTTGATCTGCACTGCTGTCCCAGGCCAGTGATTTAGGAAGCACTTACGCCATGAGAGACTGGCAACTAACATTTTCAGAAGCAGAGGTCAGCTCAGTAAAGTTAACTTTAAAGCCTACCTCCGAGCCCACCCATCACCCCCTCATCCCCTATTGGCCCCCAACAGTTTTTTTTTATACATAGCTTTTTATAGATGTCTTCAGGCTAGTCATGTGACACGCTGGCTCCTCTTCTTTTTTGGATCTTCTTCAGTGGTTGGTGGTCCTCAACAACGCATATTCTCTGCATCAATGTATGTGGGTGCATCATCATTGTAGGGGTGATGTCCTCTGTCTTGACATTCAGCCCAGAAAACTGAGGACATCTAGTGGTGGAAATCAATTACTGTGGGGGACAGAACTGGGGAGAAGCTGAGTATTGCAGCCAGAGCTATGCTTTTGTTTTTTAACCCCTTGCTGGAGACTATTTATAAAATTGTCCACTATTGGGATGATATGTGTCTTTTTATTCAGATCACTCCAACAATTTTAAAGAACTCCAGGAAATCTAAAAAGTAACCCTGGCAGTGGGGCTACCCCCCACTGCAGGGGGCAACTACTGGTTTTGGTCTAGAGGCTAAATTAAAGATACTACACTCACTACTAATTTTTAATATAATTTTTTTTATTATTTATTTATTTTTACTGTTGGGGGGGGCTTTGGGGAAATATTAGGGGTCCAAACAGACCCCTGACATTTCCCTTTTAAAATAGAAAAGAAATTGAGGACACCAAATCCTCAATTTCCTTTTCTGCAGCCTCAGCACTCCCATTCATTCAGACACAGATAGTAAAATATTTACTATCAATAGTTTCTGAAAAGGGAGGAGCCTCTGTATTGAGTGCTTCTCCCCATTGAGGAAATCTTGAATGAACAGGCTGTGATGTAAATCACAGCCTGTTCATTCATAACCTGTTCATTCATAACCTGTTCATTCATAACTGGGGACACATAGTACTATGTGTCCCCAGTTATTTACAAACACTGGAGTGATCAGACGATCGCTCCAGTGTTTGCCCTTCTCACACGGAGGATGGGGGGGACCCGGGGGGGGACGGATGGACGAGGGATCGCTGTCATCATGTCGGTGAGGAGGAGAGCGGTGAGGAGGAGAGAAGCCGCCCTGGGGAGTTGAGTGCCTGACTCAATGGCTTAATTTCCACTCGCCCCCACGTAATCTTCACTCGCAAATTGCGAGGGGGCGAGTGGAAATTTTGAGCCCTGCACTACTAGATTGGTCTCTGCAGCTTCTTCTGCCCCGGGCTGCTGCGGCCTTTCTCAACCAGGGTCCTGTGGCACCCTGGGGTGCCTTCTGGCTTCCTCAGGGGTACCACAATATTTTCGCACAGCATTATGCCTTTCCATGGTGTAGGCAGGCCAGCCACCAGTTCCATGGAAATGAATGATGGTAAGCCAGGGAGGGTGGGATGCTTTCAGAAAAGAATGGAAGTTCACCTTTATCTAGGCTTACTTTGCCTCCCAGCCTCTGCCATACAGCCGCAGCTGCAGTTCCCGGTGGTAGGACTCTGATGTGAAGGTGGGACTGAGGACTTTGATGTGAAGGGAGCACTCAACACTCTAATGTGAAGGGGACTCCTAATGTGACAGGGGGATTTTGATATGGAAAAAAGGGGGCTCTTTATGTGAGGAGGAAGGACTATTTTTTTGTGTGGAGGTTCCCCCTTAAAATCCATATCAGACCCCTGTCTGGGAACAACGGTCATGCATGGATTTTGAAGGGGCCACATTTGTACACTTTGTACACTTAATTGTTTTACATTTTAGACTTGAATGCCTCGGGATGTTGCATTCTTTTAAAGGGTGCCATGACTGGAAAAAGGTTTAAAAATACCTGTCTAAGGACCCATGACGTCATCATTTCTAATGCAGCTATATTAAACGTGAGGACGCTGAGGGATGTTGCACCGCCAGAGCGAAAGGCGGGAGAGGTGAGCAGTCACCAACACAGGACCAAGGATCAGGTGAGTATATCTTTTTTATTTTAGCTTCTAGACCAAACGAGCAATTACCCCTGCAGTGCGGGGGTAGCCCCACAGCAACGGGTCATTTTTAGAGTCTTTAAATGATACTCATTTGAGCTTACTATCACTTTTTGATGAGTTGTACCATGCTGTTACATTTTGACTACACAGTAATGTCACCTGCATTCACCCGACCTTGTTAATTCTCTAATTGTAGTAGTTATGTGAGATCAAACATTTCAGGAAGTGTGGTTAGTGAGCAGCACTGCAGGCAATGTAAACACTTGTCTCATAATAGCATACGTATTCTGATTAATCAGATCATCTCTCCTTGTAGGGAAGAATTCCTGCTATCACACCCGTATAAACAGAGCCTGGTTGTCTGCACATCTGGAGTTCAGTATGATGAAGTAGACAAGTTCTCACAGTCCTATCCTCATCTGGAGATGATATTCCAGCAATGTGATAGCCTCCAGTGTCCCCCCAAGATTTTCTTCTCAGTGCCTGCCTTCCCTCCCATTCTATTTCCACATACTCAGTCAGTGAATCAGACTCCAGTCCTATGACATCACAGTCACAAGCCGTATAAAGAGCAGCAGAGCGTACATGAGGAAGAGACCAATATACCGTTCCTAATATTCCACTTCTGATCATCTGAAACAATAAAACAACACTGGGGTACAGAGAAAAGAAACAGCTCCAAACAACCGGATAGATTCCCAGAGATTCAATAAACTCAGGACATACTACGAGATTCTAAGATGTCTTGTGACAGGAAGGTAAGTGAACAGATACACTGGTGGCTGCTATTGAACTTCACTTTCTACTTGCCGAACTTGAACTTCATGTAGTATGTGCAGACTGCGTGTCATGGTGCTACAACAGCACAAAGTATGTCAACCTTTTTCCAGGCTTTAGATATTATTCATGACCAGCGAAACGAAAATCCCTCTGGAGAGATTCTATCAAAACTGGAGCAGACAGAATCTGGAGCAGTTACACATGGCAACCAATCATTCTCTCTCTTCAGTTTGTTCATTCAAGGTTTGAAAATGAAAGAGAGATGCTGATTGGTAACTTCGCAAATTCTCCAGATTCTGTTTGACCCAGGTTTGATACATTTCCCTCTCTGTGTTACATTATTCTACAAGTTGCAGCACTAGGACTGAGACTTCTTGCCCTCACCATCACCTTCTTTAAAGGGAACTCACCAGACAAATGGACCCCACATATACAGAGGTAAAATATGACCTCTGTATGTTTGGGGTCCATTGGTATGGTATGTTTCCTCTACAGAAGGTGTTGGTTTACACTGGAGATCAAAAAGTTTCACTCCTATTGCTGCAATATTTGAATAATGTTTAAGGACTTGAGTATCGGTCTTTTTGCAAGCTGCTGTGAATAACTTTGTGTTGTTTTGGACACTTATGTTTGATTTGCTATTTAAGCTCTTCTACTGCAGACATTGCTTTTTTTTATTAGCAGTGGGGGGATTCATAAAATCTGGAGCAGATGGAATCTGGAGCAGTTGTCCGTGGCAACCAATCAGCCTCTCTTATTTTCAAAGCTTAATTGAACACACTGAAAAAAGGAGCTGATTGTTTTTTTATGTATTCCCCACAATGTGTTACATGAAATAAGTGATATCCGTGAAACTGAAAAACAATCTATGATCTCATTTATTAAAATGCCCTATTGCAGGGCAGAGCAAACTCCGGTCCTCCAGCTGTTTTGGAACTACAAATCCCATGAGGCAATGCAAGATTCTAACAGCCACAGGAATGACTCCCAGAGACAGATGCATCATGGGATTCCTAGTTTTACCCCAGCTGGAGGGCCAGAGTTCACTCACCCCGTGCCCTATTGGGTATATTGTACTTCTTGTTCCTCCACAGCAGTACTGTACATTATCAGGATACGCTGGCCACACACTTATAGATCCTTTAGTTTATCCTATGAGATGAACGAAAGAAATCTAACAGCTAAACAGTAAAACAGCTAAACAGTAAAATGAAAAAGTTATACTCACCCGATCTTCCAAGCCGGCTCGCTCTTAGACCGGTCCCTGGAGGCTATGTCCTCCTCTGCTCCAGTGGTCTAAGGTCCCTGATTCATCATGACCGATACACTGTGTATAGGACATGAAGATGCTCAGGGACATTGCTGGAGTTGAGGAGAAGACAGGTGAGTAGAACTTTGTTATTTTCCTCCATAGACCAAAACAAGCACTTCACCCTTGCAGTTCAGGGGAAGCCCCACTGCAAGGAATAACTTTTTGCGTGGAGTTCTCTTTAAAGCTGTGGATATAGCAGAGGAGTGTCCTGACCTTTATTATGGCCAAAATGAACGTTCTTAATATATTTTCTTTTCAGAAATGTATTGTGATGTAATACTGCATTATGGTGCCTAGATAGAGCTGAGGAGCATATGAAATAAGTACTCATTTCCTATACTCTTCAGCTCCATCTAGTGGCCATAGTGCAGTATTACATGGCAATATATTTGGCCTGAAAAGAAAATGTATTAACAGCGATCGTTTTTGTTATTATTCACACAGAATGCACGTTCCCAGATATTTACAGTGAAATGGGCCCTGCAGATTATTTATAAATAGATCCCTAGTGTTCTGTGAATGGACAAGAAGAGAAGAGGGGCTAATAATATGGTTTCTGTGTATGACAACTGCAAGTTTCTTGCCGCTGCACTGGGAGTATATCAAAAGCTACTGTCTAGCATCAATGAAACAGTAAATAATTTAAAAAAAGGCCAGTGATCCTGGAGATGACATACACCTCATTAGAGTTAACTACTTGTTACCCAGCACTATTAAATATTTATTTTACTGGAGTTCATCTTTAGGCTTCCCATGAGATGAGATGACTAGTATCCAATCTGGGCAATAATGGTTGGATGGATTGCACATCAAGTGCCGTCTGTGACCTCATCAACAACAATTACCTTTTTCAATAGAATAATATATCAAAGAATAATATTATTCTGTGATAACAAAAATAAAGGAAAAGCTGAAAGAAGACACTTTATTCTTTTTCTGTACCACCACTCGTTCTTCAAACCTTTGTTCTATTACTAAGCAAAGCCATCGGAAGAATCTTCACAGTACAGGTCCAGGTGTGTGGGATGTCTACATCCCCCACTGCGTTCTGTGTTTTGTACTGCTGGGGGGGGGCCCGGCATCTGACACACCCAGGAGTGTGTCTAATGTGAAGATACTTTGGGCAGCTTTGCTGAGCAAAGATTCTACGAATGGGTGCCGGATAGGCAAATCTAAAGTTTTTTCTTTTACAGGAGCTTTTTTGTTATTTATTTATTGTCAGCAGGTAGTCACTTTAACAGTCAGGTCCCTGGTAGAGTAGAAAACACTGATGAAATTATTATTGAATATTTAAAATAGATTTTTACATCTTTTTTTCATTTCAGACCAATTTTAATGTGATATTTTTTCTCTTTCTTCTTGGTTTCTCTTCTCCCTCCTCCTCTCTCTCCTGCTTGTGACATTTCTGTTCCTTTGTAATTCTTTAGTTCTTTCTTTCTTGGCTTCTTTTACTTCTTCTTCCACTTTGCGCAGCCATCCCAGGTTTGCATGCTGAGAGAAATAACACAGCAGAAACAGAGGAGAACAAGAATAACACAGTCCCACTGAATAATACAGTGAGTCCTCTCACCACTGCTTCTCCAGACTATGAAGACGACCAGTCTTCTGTTGCTCAGCCTCGCAAGATCACACAAAGCCACAAGACAACACGAGAGAGAATTCCATTCATAACTGAAGACATTGACTATGACAACTATGAGGATGACGAGGACAATGGTTACAAAAAGCAGTTCACTTTGCCCCCACAAGTTTTTAATGCACCTTGCCCCTTCGACCGCTGCAAGCATCTGGAGCTCCCATGCAGTGAGATACAGAAGAGCACAGGAGGCAAATGCTCTTGCCCTGGGATAAGTGGACGTTCTATTCTCCCTGATGCTCCACGTTTGAATGTCATAACTCCTGGACAGACAGGCATAAGTGTGAGCTGGTGCTCACCTTTATCAACAGTGCAGGGATACAGGTTGCTGTATGGTTCTCCTGAAGGTCCACTGGAGAAAGGACCCTTGCTCAATCAATCTTACCGCTTCTTCTCAATCCCCAACCTTGTCCCAGGCATGCCATACCGGGTGTGTGTAGTGGCCATAAATGATGCAGGAGAAAGCCAGCTGCAGCCCAGTGATGGAGAAGAAGGATGGCCTGGCCCGGGAGGCATTACAGGTCCATGTGGCATCTATAATACCTATGACCCCTATGGATCATATATTTATTTGGCAGTAGGAATAGGCTTGGCAATACTTGCAGGTCTTGTAGGGATCTTTGTCTTTGTTTATTGGTTTAGGTGTAGAAAAGGGAGTAGAAAATTAAAACGGGCAATTGGGGAGGAGATGGGGGTCACCAATATGTCATTTAAGGCAGAAAGTGTTGAGAATTTGTGACGATATATTCTGGGGTGTATGGTATGAGGCACTATTGTGATATGAACAGATAGAAAGAAGCATGGTGCATTTCCTATGTGTGTTTTATGTCAATATTTATTTATTTATTCCAAATAAATCTATTTTTACATAGTTCTGTTCTTTAAGTGTGATTGTACACACAAAACCTTGCAAGATTAATTATACATAAAAACTTGCAACTCGAACGTACTGAAGAACCCAAATGTATTTTGGTAGATTTGGAGTTAAGACGAAGGTTTAAGTTACATTTAAACGTTATCTATGGTCAAAAACTAAAAATAAATATGTATTTCTATACCGAATTTCCATAGGTTTTGTCTAACTCCTAATAACCATATCGATCTAGAGGTTTGTAGACTTACTTTTTGAAGATGCTCATAGGATGCACTCCCTCAATGCACTGACACAATTTCACTCAGCCCTCTGAATCCGAACTTCCTTGTGCCACAACTCTCACAGATTCTGCCTTTTTAACTATAACTCATCAACTGAACAAAAAAACTGTATCATTGCTTGCTGGAAACAATGCATGATCAGATATGTCGTCTTCAGAATTTAAGATTACATCACATCAGGCAGCAGGGAAAGAGATGCCAAGCACACTGGGAATCCAGGAAGTTGGGCAGACAGAATGCAGTATTCACTACATATAAGTAAGCTGATTGTATCATCAAAAACAACTATAGTATGTATTCCTGTTACAATGCTGATGTTATAACAGGATAGTAAATGCAGTGACTCCTTTAACCCCATGCCATCCTTCTATAAAAATACATTCTAAAAAATGCACTTTGTAGAGCCCACAAGTGTCTAGCATGCTTCCGCAGAAGTCCATAGAAGTCAACAAAGACTTGTGTTGGGCTGAAAAACAATAATCACTCTGCAATGCAATACCCAGTTATTCATACCGAAAAGCACTGAAGTCTTTGGATTAATATAACAACAAGGCCCCAACTAACATTTTTCAGAAGGAAAGACCAGCAATGGCAACCTCTCTGATTTCTCAGTATGGGTTTCCTTGGAGTAATGTATTAGTTAGAAACATCAGATAAGTAAAATACCAATAAACTCACAATTTAGACAAATCAATACTATAAATCTGTTATATTTCTGTTTGCAAAACATCACAATGAGATCACACCATGATTTAGCATTGTAATTACACATTTATTTTGCTAACCAAGTTTGCAGAAGGCAGAAGCTTGCAAGAGAGAGACTAGCATCTTAGCAGTGATTGACGACCTGCTCGTGCGCATTGGTGTCAGTGGGAGCAATAATAAAAACCCCATCATCAGTGTCAGCAATCATTTAAACACCTTCATTGGCGTCAATGGCAACAATATTAAAATCCCCATCACTAGTTTCTATAGTTACCTACCTGAGCACATGCTCCCATGATGCTACCTTTCTCCCAGATTACTTCTGGCTGGAACTATACTATCACCATGTATATTAGGCCACATGATAGTGTTGGCATAATTACAGTAGTTTAATGCAGAAATTTCCAGCACTTGGCACCCGCTACCACTCTGCACAGTGGTATACTTGGCAACTATGATGGGGAGATCTTTCCCATGTCCGGTTCTGGTAATACAGCACTAATTAAGTACATTTTGCCAACCCTTTGCTACTCTATCGAAATCTAAAAAGACGTTTGAGTTCTATTTTATGTAAACACAACTCCAGCAAAATCTATTTTCTTCAGTTTTGAAAAGACCAGGAAAGGGGCTAGGACCCAGGTTTTATACGCCCTCCCCAAGATCCATAAATCCTTAGTGACACCCCCGGGCAGGCCAATCGTCTCCGGTTGTGGGTCACTGACAGAGAATGTGAGTTCATACATAGACCACTTCCTTAAACCACATGTTGAATCCTTGACCTCTTACGTCAGGGATACGCCACATCTTATTGCATTGATCCAGGATTTAGAAGTGCCTGAAGGCACTCTCCTGGTAGGTCTAGATGTTGAGGCCCTATACTCATCCATTCCGCATGCTAAAGGGCTAAAGATGACAGAAAGGTTTCTGGCTACATTGGGGACAACTGAGAGTAGGCACAATGCTTTCCTACTGCAACTTTTGGAATTTGTCTTGACTCATAATATCTTTCTTTTCAATACCCAACATTTTTTACAAAAGCAAGGCACGGCCATGGGGACCAAGTGTGCACCCTCCTACGCCAATTTATATCTGGGCGGTTGGGAGCAGGATTTGTTTGCCAGGGAGGACTTATCCATGTACCTGTGCCAGGTGTTATCCTGGCACAGGTACATAGATGACATCCTGATACTATGGACGGGGGGAGAAGACTTGCTGAGAGATTTTGTTGACATCCTCAATTTCAATAACCTCAATCTAAGATTCACCCTAACATTTGACGGCAGTAGATTATCCTTCCTTGACATTTTGGTGTGTAAGGATGCCGACGGTATCCTCTACACCAGCCTGTACAGGAAGGATACGGCAGGTAACGCCATCCTTGAAGCAAGTAGTGCCCACCCAGAGAGCCTGAAGAACAGCATCCAGTATGGCCAGTATTTGAGAGTTAGAAGGAATTGCACCATGGACACGGACTTTGAAAGAGAGGCCCAAAGTTTGAGGATCAGGCTAAGGGCAAGAGGTTACTCGAACAAAATACTTAAAAAAGCATATCGGAGAGTAAAAGGCGGACCTGAACTGCCCGTTAATAGGAATAAAAACAGAAATAAAAATAGTCGAATCTAATAAGAATGACAGAGAGGACCCCCTTGTGAGATTAATCCTGACATTCAATAATCAGCACAAGAAAATATCAAAGATTCTTCAGAAACATTGGCATTGTCTCACCAGGGACTCCAGAATTTCAAAGTTCTGTGGTACTAGACCCAACATCACCTACCGACGGTGCCCCTCCCTAAAAGACAAACTGACCAATAGCGACTTCTGGTATAGTAGTGGCCTTTGCTGCAAGTATCCAGGCACCTTCCAGTGTCAAAAGTGCAAATTCTGTCGATATGTCCAAACTGGAACTGAGATTAGTACACCCCGGGGGAAACGTCTTAAGTCTCGCCATTTTGTGAATTGTGAGACCAAGGGTGCCATCTATTTAATGCTGTGCAGATGTGACATGTTTTATGTAGGCAAAACTAAACGCATGTTTAAAAATAGAATTTCAGATCACCTGGCTGACATATCAGCCAGGGATCTGAGATCACCTATAGTTAGGCACACTTTATCAATACACATAATGGACAGGTCGACAGACTTCGCTTTTTTGCACTGGACAGGGTCCACCAACCTAGATGAGGGGGGGATTGGGACAAATCTCTTTTACAAAGGGAATGTAGGTGGATCCATCAGACGGAATCTCATGAGGCACCAGGGCTTAATGATATGATTAATTTCAGCTGCTATCTCTAAACCCGAATAATATGTCAAACATAGTGCTTTTTATCTCCTTTTTATCTCCATCTTACGTTCCATATATGGGTGATATAAAGTGAATACACACCTTACCTGTTTTATGTCATTAATTTGAAGTTTGGAATATCAGTTTTAACTACTGAGTATAGATCATATGGCAAAATTCCTGTTGGATTACTATGTGTCACTCCAAATATGGATGGAATCCCCCTTCAGTTACGGACCTTTGCGGGTTTATGGCCAATAACCATCTGAACTATAAGCTTAATACTCTTAAATAACGTATATAAACGAACACATATATATGTGTACAACGTTAAATAACTTCTTAGGATTTAAACTCTAATCATGATTTTGGACACTTCTTATTGTATATCTCAGCTTATAAATGACCCAGCAGGTTCCGGAACTGACAGGTTTATGAGGGTTTTATGTTCATGTTTATGTTTATTTTTATGCTTGTTTCCATTTGAGTATGATTATGAAACTATAGGGGTCCGTAGATAATTATATATATGTGTACATGTATTGTTGATGTTGGACACAACCCTCTTCTGGGGGGCTTTTTCATAACTGTTTCCCCCAGAAACAGTTTCCCTCAGTAGTTTCAATAGTAATATATGGATGGATATGAGGACTATTATTATTATTTTTTACATCACTCTCCATTTTTCTATACATCGAGAAACTTGTGTACAAATGTGCAGAAAAGATATTCTGATCCAGAAAATATAGCTATTGTTCCACAGGTGTAACTATATTTGACCCATATTAAAAGAAAGTATTGCTTTGGATCACGGATTGCACAATTTTGAGCGAAACACTCGGATTCTAATTAGTGCTCATTAGCAAATTATTTAACACACCTTTGCAGGACATCAATCACACGCCCCTCCGAAGAAGCCCCGGTTGTGGGGGGAAACGCGTCAGGGTAGCGTGTGCTCTAGCTTCCCAGGATACTCACCACTTGATTGCCTACATGGTCAGATGAGAACGATACCTTGAGTGCCTTTGTATTCTCAAAGACGGAGTGAACCTGGACCGGGCTGTCTCTGAACACAACAGCGGCTAAGTTGGCTGAGATTGTAGCTGAGACCGAGTAAAGCGAGCGGGCAACCACAAGTGCATTCACATACAGCTCTCCAGCCCCACTGAGATCCGGTCACTCTGCCGTGGGGACTCCATCGCAAATTCATCCATTTGTGCGGCCGCACTTGTTGTAATACCACCTGGATGTTTACATGGACCTGGAACGAAGTCCTGCGGATTAATGTGAGTCCCAAACCAGCGGAGAAACAGGCATCTACTGAGTCTCCGGTCCTTGGATACAAATAGATTCTCTGGAATCCATATCGTTTCACACGGATACATTTCTTTGAAAGCAGTTAAGCTCGCACATCAATGTGGGATCGGATCAGAACTGTCCTCCCTCTGAAGCCACACGCGTTGTGAGTAAAGCTTCGATATTGTATTTTTCAAATTTATGTTACACCATCGTGTTCATTCCAGAGACTTCCTGCCACCCAGGAGATCTGTAGTCTCCAAACCTGTACCGTTGAACCAGTGTGACCCCTAGAGAAGCTATTTTAATGGTTTTAGATGTTTTTGTCTGAG